GAAGCTGAAAGTGGATTAAAGACAAATACTGGGGAGAGATAGTTGAATGATATCACGCACCAAATTATCACTCAAGCAGAACCCAAACCAGAGATGATAAGTTTGGCGTTGCTTTTTGAAGGCGTAGAGATCTTGTGGGGGCAATTACATAGCCAGGTAAAGAGGACTTCAGAGAATGCGATGAAATGGAAATGTGCTGGTGAGGCCCCCTATGTTCCAGTCGTTACTTAAAGGAATAATAATAATAGATATAATAATAATTATTGACTGACATAATATTTTGATCCACCCACATAAATATTTACATCCGTAATCAGAATTCACTGAATACCTCTTATTCCATAAAAGTGGTGCATAAGCATACAAACACATCTATAACATTCTGACATCTCATCCATTTATTCAACGTTATGGCGTAATAATCTTCTACAAATATTACTTGTTACCCTAAGTTAAGTTTTCAAGAATCCCTTCTATAAGTTTGAATAATAATACGTCAATCTCTGAAATAAAAACAAGTCAAAAGGACCTGTGACACAGGCTAAATGTAATCAGTTTTATAAAACACTTGAAGTCCCTGAGACGTGTTTGCAAATTTCATTTATTTTTAAGTTATTTGAAACATATATATATATATTCATATACTTTGATTGAACACTAGTCAGTAAGTGGTGCAAAGTGTCTATTCCTCTGTCTCGTGCAGACTGAATTCTATCAGTCAAGTTTCTAATGTGACCACCATCATGCCACTAGGTGGCCCTATAACGCTGCACTTAGAATTATTATTGATATTAGATGACTGGAGGTGATCGGCAGGAAGCCTTACACCTCGGTTTCGTGCTGGTTAGCCCCAATCAGCAGGGACTATCTCCAATCAGCTTGAAGGAACCCATATCCCTTCTGAGATTTGAACCCGAGTCATCATCCAGTGCTGTAGTCAGAGATATGACATCACTGAGCTATTCCCGCTTGCCATGTAGCTCACACTGACTGGACCACTGGGATTTCAGCCAGCAGGTCGGTGATTTTAACACTGTATCCGCTTAATTCAGTCTGACCAATTGTATAGTGCCATCACCTTTCAAATAAAAATGGTGGTTTATAGCTTAGTTTATAAGCTATCTGTTCCATGTAGCTGTTTTTGTTATTATTATTATGATTATTATTATTATTTTTGTTTCCTTCAGTTTCGAGCATAAAATAAATTTTCAGCGGAATATTTTCCCTTAACTTTCTTCTGTACAGTCTTTTCTCACTGCTTCCACGACTTCCCAGAAGCTTTCATTACCTCATTTTAATAGAATCAACCTAGTTGCGTGTTCTTACTCTTGGGTAAAACTAATTCATCCTATGCCTGTTTCTTTTGTCGGCTAAAGAGCCCAATAGATCCAATTCAGAGAAATGATATAATTTACCAAATACCAGGTAGTGACTGCTAGTGAGGTCAATTACATAGGTCAAGCTAATGGTTTGGAATAAGTTGGACTATTGGATTATAAAAATTAAGCTAAACCTTGAATAATTCATCCAGCTAAGTTGAATAACCTAGAAAAATAGCTCAGCCAATGCATTGCACTGCATTCACTTGCTTGTAATCACACAAAATAGAGTGGGTGGGACAGGGTGAGTGTATTAAAAAGTAATAGAATTAGGTGGAAAGAAAGAGAGAATGGTTACTGCCTGAAGCTATGTTTATCGATTCAACATCGCACAGGTGTAATTGGAATGAGACGCAACCTGTCGCCTATACTGGAGATATGGAAAGTGGCAACAAACAGCAAAGCGAAGATGGAGAGAAACAGAAAGACAGAACTAGATACATATATAAGACAAATTGTGAAACTGTATGACTAAAGTGATATGATTACGTCATCCTGGTTATTAATACTGCGTCACTCACAGTGTGATACTTAAAATAAACTTATCTAATATGGAACAGGCATTCTCCACCACAGCGCCCAAGTTCTACACTTGCATTAATTACTGCTTCTTTTGTCTCAGAGGCTTTGTGGTAGAATGCTTGAGAACCACGCACGTAGTCAGGATTCGATTCCCTGGTTGATGCCACACTCCTAAACCTCGCCTAGCTGATAGTTAGCGTAGTAAAGATGGATATTCGACATGAGGTCAGCAACCTCATCTCGTAAAGTCTACTACCAGTACGTGAACTTCAAATGCCAGACATGAAGCCCTAAGCTACACTCAGAAAGAGATGTAAAAGAGCAAAGCAGATACTTGTTTGTGCAGAATAAATAACCTTTAGTAAACATAGCATAAGCCATATGTAGACCATACATTCAATGTTGTGGCTGCCGGTTTCGTTTATAGGGGCCTATGGTTCCTATATCCTCGGCACACGTGCTACTCTTGCCTGTAATAAAACGTTTGGCCGGTCTTGTATGCGAGATAAGTCCTATTTGGCTGGTCTATGCATTACATAATTGATTGGCGCAGACAGTGATCGATGTAACTATGCTTATTTATTCATTATTGTGTATACTAATGGTACAAACTGTCCACCGAGGGATAGGGCTCTCAAGTGGTTGCGCCACAGGATGATACTGCATGCCAGTCTCATCTCTCAAGAGGCAAGGATAGGTGTGTTCGGTTCTCTTAAAAACCAATACCCAGTCACTGGGCGTATCATTATGTGAATAAACTGGTTGATCTTACCAGTGCTTGTCATATGCTTGTCTCAGAGATTAAGCCACGCATTTCTAAGTACATACCTTAAAACGGTGAAACCTCGAATGCCTCATTAAATCAATTATGGCTCCTTAGATCACATATACTCCATGGATAACTGCAGTAATTCTAGAACTAGTACATGAAATTATGCCCTGACTCACAAGGGAACAGGTGCATTTATGATTTGGTCTTGTGTTGACTACGAACCTTTCAAATGTCTGCCTTATCAATTTGTACTGTAACCAACCACTGTAACCACCACTACTACCGAAACTTCAAGCCTCTAGCTTGAAGAAGCCCTATATTCCACTGGGGAAACTAAAAAGGATTGAAGTAAAATAACCTTTTACAGAGTAAAGAATAAATTTCATCCGTTTCTGCATTCAGTGTTCAATCTACACATTCTCTCTGTGTCACTCATCCTCTATATATATAAGCTGGATAATATCAATAGTAGAAATATGACAAAAAACAACCCTTATCTTCTATTTCAGAAAAATCAACTATCCATTGAAAGTAAACATATATTTCATGAAATAAAATGGAGAGAAAAGTTTATCAATTATTCGGGATTTTTATCTCTAGATTTAAATGTTTTTTTATGGAATTTTTTCTTATATCCTGTCTTCCTTTTTTTGTCATATTTAAAGAAAATTGAATGCTGATTTTGAATGATTTATAAAGTAATGAATATGTATATATATGTATCAGTTTTCAATGTATTGAACGGTCTTCTTTGTTGAAATACGTTTCTCAGATTGATTAAAAGTTAGAGAAAGATTAATCAATCATATTCTTAGTTTTGATGAGAAGACCCTGGAAGATGTGAACTTCTTTTGGATGATTGATGTCTAATATCATATGAATGCAAAGATCTATTAGGGTGGAAATCAGCAGACTGGCAGGAGAGGAAACTTCAGATGAACACTAGAGAAGACACAGGAGATGAACATACTTCACTAATAACAAGAAACATCAACCACTGCTATCAAGGGGATAGATTTAAAAGAGGCCATTTCTTTCCCTTATCTTGGCAGCACTGTTCCAGTCACATGTGACGTTGAAGGGATGTCATAGATACCCAGGATGAGAAAGGCAAAACAGATATTCATTATTCTGAAATCAATAATGAAACTCTGCTGTATTCAACGTAAAGAAGCATTTCCAACATGCTACTGCACACTTCCATCAGTAGCTATCTTCGTTGGCACTATTCGGAAGATTGGATGCTGTACCAGAAAGAATAAACGACAGGGAACTTTGTGGCGAACCATCGAAGAACCCATTGCTCAATAAATATGAAAAAAGGAATAGAGATGGATCCGATACACACTAAGGGGACAGAATTAAACATTTATCTCCCTGAAGATTTTCTCAATAACAACAACACTGAAGTCCGCATTTTCGTAGTATTCACTTTATTTTTTTTAACGAGTTGACCACAGATTGATATCAGTTACAGAACTATTGAAAACCAGCACTGGAGTACTGGACAGCTAGTTGTTTCGTCAGCTTAGTTTGGGAATCATCAGCAGTACGCGCCCACTGCCAGGGTTCGAACCCAGGATCTTCCGGTTACAAGACAAGCTTGTATAGCATTCAGCACTGGGACCCAATTCAATGCTTTTTAACCGGAAGTTCCTGAGTCCAACCTATGACAGTGGGTGCGTACTGCCGATGATTCCCAAACTAGGTTGACGAAACAGCAGCTGTCTAGTACTCCGGTGCTTGTTCTCAATGGTTCACTAACTGATATCAATCCGTGGTCAACTCGTTAAAACATAACTAACCCTTACAAACCAAAACTATAGAAAATTCACTTTATAATTCAGTGTATTTATATTCCCCGTAGTATCTCACAAACCCTGTAGTTCGCATCTGATATGGTTGATGTAATCCAACGACTTAATTAAGTCAACCAGCAGTAAGTATGATGATATTCACCCTGTTGTTAAGCGCAGATCACTCACTTTCTTTTTTCCTCAACTTTTAACTAGATATTGAGATTATATTTTACTTTTGAACCAAAAATAGACTGTCTAAAAACAACTAATTATTTTCTATTAGTAGTATAGAAAAAGAATTATGGACACAGACATAAACGAAACATTTTCAGCAACAAATGTTTCACTCGTTTTTACAGGGGGAAAATATATATATGTATACATACAATACTATTTGTAAGACTAAAAATAGAGAGAGACTTGCTTTCCTTTTTTCTGAGAAAAACTCAACTAAACTCTAACTTATCATGATTATCCTATCACTTTTCTCTCTCTCTCTCTCTGCCTTTCTCCCCCTGATTCACATAGGGTTACATAGACGAGTCAATATCGAAGATATTAACTTCAGTTAACGAAGGTCGAATTATTGCATTAGACAGGTAAGTCATATTTTGAAATACTCAGAGTGAATTGTTATTATTTTTCAATGAATTCTTCTTCTTCTTCAGACTTTTTTTGATGTGGTTGAGTTATCTGAGCTAGCTGGATAGTTGATTTGCGAAGCTTTCATCACCCTACTAGGTGACATCTTCAGCGCTTACTTCAATTCGAATCAAAGTGAGGTTTTAGATTTCTCCACGAATTTATTAATTATCTCTCATGGCGGGTGACCTTGAATGTCGTGATTGGTTGTTTTTGTGTGTTATCACACCTTCTAGGCAGCTACTTGTATTGGAACTGATTGTTTCTTTGACTTGAACTTTTACCCTTTGTGTGTCAGGTTTCTTTCTTATCGGTTGATAAATTTTGTCTATCTCGATGTGTCTATTGATTGATGATTCACTGGAATACCAGCCAGCCTTCTAAAAATTCTCTAGCATTCTTGTTGTTTCCTCCGTCTAATATTTGAACGTTGTCCGTGATTATCTGTATGTAGTGATATGAGGGAGTGGATGTCATGTCTGTTGACGGCTAGCTTGTGTTCGTGGATACGAAGACGAAGTGGACGTCCACTTTGACCAATGTAGTGTTTTTCTCAGTTGTTACAATTTATTTTCTAGATGATGTTGGTCTCATCTTCTTTCACTGTTGAGTCTTTTAATTGACATAGAGCCAGGTGAGTGAAGTGACCTTGTTGGTTTGTGTACGACGTCAATTCCTAGAGGTTTGAAGAGGCTTGTAGTAGTGATTTCTGAGATATCCTTTATCATATGGTAAGGCGATTTTCTTTGTGCTTTCCTTGGGCGCTCTTGGTTTGATAAGTTAGCTTGGGGGTATATATCTTTTGATGAAATTCCGTGGATATTTATTCTTTGTTGAAAGACGTTCATGAGATATTTTTCTTCAATTTTCCTTAAGGTGGGAGTGCTGCGATTATACATTCACTCATCTTTAGAATATATATAAGATAGAAAAAGCAAATTAGAATCATATAAGAATGTTATTTTGGTGGAATAAGTATAAGATGGGAAGCAACAATAGTCAGTTAGTTTTGATTATCGTTTACAATAGATACGGTCAATGAGAACCTGGAATGAGATGAGATAGTTTTCATGAGTTGTTTTGTATAAATTAGATTTGTTTTTTTTTCACCAGTTTGACCACGGATTGATATATCAGTTAGAGTAGAAAACCAGCACCGGAGTACTGAACAGCTAACTGTTTCACCAGCCTAGTTTGAGAACCACCGGCAGTACGCGTCCACCATTAGGATTCATACCCCCCAGGATCTTCTAGTAGCATGGTAAGCTGGCTGGTATACCATTCAGCCAGCCTTTGGGATCCGATTCAATAGCCAGCCCAATGAATTCTAACTTCTACCAATTCGTGATGCAGTTAGCGCCAACGACCACCAACCAATGTCATCGGTGGAGTTTCCTGGAGCCTTAGTGAGAAGTTCTGACCAGTGAGGTCCATCCAGTCAAGTGTGAGGATGGATAGTCCACCGATGACACGAATTGTTGAAAGTTAGAATTCATGTGTTGGCCATTAAATCGAATCCCAGTGGTTGAATGGTTTGAGTGCTGCAGACAAATAAACCGACACATGGGAGAGACTAGACGTATGTTTAATGGTGGCAAATAACAATAGTTATGATGGTGAAATCATAACGATGATGTGGTGTAAACTTAAAAGTACTAATGGTGGTTGATTATCAGGTAATGATCAACTTATTAAAATGAAATAAACAGGATTTTGTACATAAAATAAGGAGTTGGAAAGGCACTGCTTAAACTGAAGATTACTCATATAATAAGAATGGTCATGAAGTTGTGAAAGGTCTGAAATGAACATTCGTTAATAAAGCAGAAGAAAAAAAGTAAAATGCAGTATACATTTTAAGTACCATTATTAATGGAGGATTTGTTGACCTTATTGTAGGTCAAGGTGAGTAAGCATAGCGATTGGATATACTTCTGCTGTATACAAAGATCAGGTCTTCTGGTATTGGCTGCTACAGTTTCAGCTAATTAATGATAGAAGACTTAGTCGAGCCCCTCGAGATAGATTACCAGGAACACCTGTTGTAGTTTAATTTAATGTCCAGTATCTACCAAGTGGGGTGAGACTGCACTATTTATGCATTTGCTTCCCCTCTTTATTCAATCAAACAAGTACTAATGCGGGAAATGCCATCTACACATCTTTCTCATATTTGTTGGGCAATCAATTCTTGATTATTTCATTTCTAGAGGTGTTTGCTCCTAAGTGTTTCTGGCTGGTCATTAAATCTTCTCTATGAAGCCGTTGAAGTCGGTAGCTGTTGACAACAGTCTTCAGTAACGTGTTGGAAATGCATACAACATGTTTCTGACTCATATAAACACACTGACTGACTTAACACTAGTGTTAGAAATCAGAGTTTTATGTTCTTTATAGCTGAGCAAAGCAAATTTCAAAGTTAATACCAGAATGATGAAGATCTGCTTTGATTTTCCAACTGTGGCGGCACTGTGGTTAGGACTCTCGCCTACAATGCACATGGTGCGAGGTTCGATCCGCTGCCGACGCACACCTGATATCTATGGTCGGCCTGCAAGATTTGGGCTACCGATATCCATGCTGAAAATTCCATACTTGTACCAAAAATACAGTGTGGAATCAAGCTGTAATCAAAAATAAAATATCCTTATCTGTGCCGATAGACAAATGAACTAAAAAAGTGTTAGCTATTGATTACATCTTAGCAAATGCTTACAAAATGTAAAATGAGTGAAATACCTCTCTGCCTTGCAATAAGCGCCTCATCAATAAAGAGAAATGATGATATACTGCATATATGTGTAACTAAAATATTTAAAAACAAGCCTTTCCTTTGATGCCTTTTATATCAACGTTATTACGGAAGCAAAGCTGTGAAATGATCCACCTACTCAATACAGTCTTTTTATACTCTATGTTGCAACGTACATTAAATATATGTATTTCTTCAGACCTAGGTAGATAGTGACAGGTTTGAAGCTACGACTAAGCGTCTCTAAAGCCAATATACTTACAAGTATTGGTTTGCAGGAATTTTGTTTGATTGCATGGAGGATTTAATCATGCGCTGACATCAGTTAGAGAACCATTGGAAAACCCACCAGGGAGTACTGGACAGCTGCTTTGTCAGCCTAGTTTGGGACTCTTCATCAGTACGCCAGGGTTCGAACTCAGGAAGTGCTGGTTACAAGGCTAGCGAGCTCGTATACCATTCAATCGCTGGGACCCGATCCAATGGCCAAACCATGAATACTAACTTCTGCCAATTCACGACATTGTACGACCATTTCGTAATGTCTTCTTCGATGAGTTATAGCCTCATCTTCAACCTGCTGTACCCTACCGATCATGGCTTCCCACTAGAACCCTGCGTTAACTGCGTGAATGGGGCCAGTCGCTAGTGAGCATCAGAATAATTTTCAATTGTTGGTTTTGTAGGGACTGTGTTTGGTAGTATGGAGTACAGTAGAGTACTCTCAGATTTTCCAGTGGTTATCTAACTGATGTCATTATTATTATTATTGCTCCCTTGGGTTCCTAGTGGAACATAGGGCTTCAACTGCACGTCTCCACTTGCTTCTGTCTTCTGCTGTACTTTTCGCCTGCATCCATGTTAGTCCATATTCTTTCAACTCCTCTTCACACGATCTCCTCCATGTAACACTTGCACCGACGTCCCGCACGCCGCTTCCCTTTCGGGTTCCACTCGAGGGCTTGACGCGCGATGTCATCCAGCGGTCTCCTCAGCGAGTGTCCGATCCATCTCCACTTTCTCCTGCATATTTGTTGGGCGATTGGTTCTTGCTTTGTTTGTTCCCATAGTTTCTTGTTGGTGATTCTTTCCGGCCCGGCCATCTGATCTTCAGTATAGAGCCAGCGAAGACAGTTGTTGATAAAGGTCTGCAACAGGCTGTTGGAAATATTCTTTGTGACCGGCCCGCTAAGTTTCTGATCCGTATAGAAGAACTGACTGACTTGACGTTTGTATTGAAAATCCGACGAATTTTGTTGTTGATGCTGAGTGACGAAGATTTCCAGATTGATTTCAGGTTGATGAATGTGTTTCTCGCCTTCCCGATTCTCGCTCGATTTGACATCCTCGTCCGCTCCTCCTGTAGTTGAGACAATGCTCCCTAGATAAGTGAATGAATGAAGTAACCTCTTTCAAATCCCTCCCGTTGATGGTGATTGACGTTGGATGTTGTTGCTGTTGTTGGTTGGTTATTTTCATAACCTCCGTCTTGTCTATGTTTACCTGGAGTCCTGTCTTCGCCGGCTGCTTCTTCGACCAGTTTGTCGGTTTTCGCTTGTAAGTCTTCGATTTTGTGGTGACATCAAACATAAATCATCCACAGGCGAAATCCAGGTCTTCTAGGTTCTTCACGTCGGTCCAGGATATCCCTGTCTTCTCGTTTCCCACTGTCTGACGCATAATCCAGTCAGTCCACCACAATTAGGAATATCATTGGTGATAGTAAGCCACCCTTGTCTGACTCCTGTGTTTACTCCAAACGCCTCGCTGAGTTTTCCGTTGTGGATCACTTGACATGTGCCGTTGTCGTACAGCTGTTGAATAAGGTTGATGAATATTTGGGGTACGCCATAGTACTCGAGTAATTTCCAAATTACTTCACGGTCAACGCTGTCGAAGGCCTTCTCAAAGTCTATAAAGTTGAGGTAGAGGTTTGATCGCCATTCCATGCTTTGTTCTGTGATGATGATGCGTAGAGTTGCAATTTGGTCAGTACATGATTTGCCTTTCCTGAATCCAGCTTGTTCTGGTCGGAGTTCTGTCTCCAGTGCGTCCTTTAATCTCTCCAGGATGATGCGACTCAGGATTTTACTTGGCGTCGATAGGAGCATGATTCCTCGCCAGTTCTTGCAGAGTGAGGCCTAAGTCGCCCTTCTTTGGTAGTTTCACGAGGTAACCTTTCCTCCAGTCAGTAGGCACCTTTCC